CACACACACACACACACACACACTGGCTCTGTCTTAGTTGCTTTTGCATGAATTATGCAGCGCTCCATTGATGGCAGTCAGTATCTTCTCACAGCTCTGCAGGAGTGTGTGTGTGCGCATGCAAACTGTTTGTGTTGTGTTCCATCCCAGCTGGTTGCTGGCCTTGTCCGGGTGACATTTTAATGGCTGCACTGCTGCGAGAACAGTGCTCACTCTCTGCCCTTTGCTCCACTCATAGCTCATTAGACTCTCTCTCTCTCTCTGGTATGAATGTTAGATCACATCATGTTTGTTTGAATTTTTGCTGCTCGTGTCTGTGCTGTGTTTGTGGTGCAGACAGTGGTGCAAGAGGCGTCCGTGTGTTTTTAAGTCTGACGCTCGCGTATCTGCCGGAGTGTGTATTGTGATCATTCGCAGGTTTACATGTACCGTCCTCTCCGGAGTTTCATGGTGTACATATGGGGCCCAGGGTGATCTCTGGCTGGCCAGATGGCCTGGCTGTCACAGCACCCACTGGGGAAACTGTTGGAGAGAGTTTCTTTTCCTCCTCATTTTTCACTCACTTCCACATTTACTTCCCCTCTCCTCCTCTCCTTTGCTTTCTCTTGTCTTTCACATATATCATTTTGCATTATTTTGGTATGGTTGTTATTCTCATATTTTTTCTATTGTGACCATACTTCAAATCCAAACCCTGTTTGCTGTCTGTCATGTAAATGTGCATCCACTAGTTTCTTTGCATTAGAGTTGATCCTTTAAATGCTTAAGCTTAGATTTAAGCTCAGAAAGAAACGTTTGTTTGTTTCTGCAACTTTCCAAATTAAAAGAATAACTTTTCATTGATTCCCTCTTTACTCTGGGGAGAAGCTGTAGTTGCAGGTAAAGCTCTACAGCTGCTCATCAGTTCATTACAGCAGCTGCAGGGATTTCCAGGGGACGACTTTCTGTGTTTGCCTTCTGGGAGAAAGACAGGATTTTGAGAATAATATCTATTTAAGTTTTTTTTTAGAAAGCTGTGGGAGACTAGTGCTCCGAGATCTTTACAACAGAGATGTTGAGTCATCATGGCCAGTATTCATGAAGGATAAAATCTTTGACTGACAAAAACTCAACCTTTTCCTTTCGATTTTTATTAAGTCTATTAGGTCTTTTTCCTCAGTCAGCCTATTTCTTTTATGTTTTCTTTGTATTTTCTGTCCCCTCTACTTCCATCATCTTCACCTCTCACCCCAAGAAGCAATAATCTCTTTGGCGATTGAAATAAATTTGGACACTTTCATTTCTAAACATTTATCTTATCCCTGCATCAGTTTTAATCTTGTTCTTTACTGCTCTCTGGAAGTCCAGTTTTCCTTCTTGCAGCAGCCGCACATGGAAAATGCTGTTTATTGAAGTCCATGGTCCTTGAAGAAGAAGACTGTGTGCGTGTGTGTGGTGATGTGTGAGCTAAAGAGAGTGAGCACAAGCAGAGTGGTGGCAGCTTGGTCCTCTGCGTGCCTTTTCCTCCGACTCTCTGAGCCTCCTCTCTCCTCCTCCCTCCTCCAGGTGCGAGCTATGCGTCTGTCGTTTGTCGGGGAGCTCGGCTGGGAGCTGCACATTCCCAAAGACTCTTGCCTTCCGGTCTACCATGCTGTCATGGCTGCTGGTGCAAAGCACGGCATCATCAACTCGGGCTACAGGGCCATCGACTCGCTCAGCATAGAGAAAGGTAATAAGGTCATGATGAGTAACCCTAACAAAAAAATCAAGCCGTGGCTTCAGGTTAACTGAAAAGCAAGTGAAACACAAAAGTGAAAAGGTTTTGTATTTGACGTGTCATGCACCGATAACTATGCATTCATTTTGAGCTCTGGTGTTAGCTGAAAGCTCAATCTCTCTCTCTCTGTTATTTTTGTCACTATGTCGTCCTCTCGTAACCAGGTTACAGACATTGGCACGCTGACCTCCGCCCGGATGACACCCCCTTGGAGGCGGGGCTAGCCTTCACCTGCAAACTGAAGAGTTCGATCCCGTTCCTGGGTCGCGATAGGCTGGAGATACAGAAGCAGGAGGGGCTGAGGAGGCGCATTGTCTGCTTCACCATTGACGAGTCAGTAAAGTCGTGAGATAAAAACACTGGATAGAGAGAAGGGAATGGAGTGAACGAAATTTGCTTAAATTAACGTAAAACAAATACATAGGTGGAGTGAAGACTTCTATAACTGATATAACTATATCTGAAATATGATCAGAGATCAGAAGCTTTAATATTAATTCATTTGCTAAGATGAATGCATTTATATTCTGTGTATGAGTCTGTGCAGGCCATGGAATGTAATCTAACGTCTAAATGAAACTTTAAATGAGTGGAGTGTGTGAAAGGGTCTGTGTGGTGTGTGTTTTAATGAAATTACATTTTTCCTTCTCTCTCTCTGTCTCTCTTTCATAGGAAAGTACCAATGTTCGGTCTGGAGGCCGTGTTCCGTAATGGAGTTCCTGTCGGTCACCTAAGGCGTTCTGATTACGGTTTCTTTATCGACAAAACTATTGGTTATGGATATATCCGCAACCCTGATGGAGGAGTGGTAATGTTCACTTTTGTTATTTCTCATTTAGTTTCATATTTAGCCTCATTTTTCTTCTGTTTTCTTTGTGTTGCTCTGCTGATAATAACACAACGTAACAGAGGGAACTACAGACAAGTTGCAACTACAACCCGCTACCAGACGATGATGAAATGTGGGTTTATACAATGAGCTGCTTCGCCACATAAAGACTAAACTGAGATATAGAATGAACCCATTTTCACTGTAGAAACCTGGTATCGGATTGCAGGCAGCAGGGTTGCCTTTAAAAATCAGGGCTTGGGAGGATTGTGAGGGAACAATGAACAAATCCATGTAACTTTGGATCCTACCCAGACTTCTCAGGTTATCGACGTGTAACAAGTGTGTGTCCCTTTATACTGAGACCAAAGCATCACTGTCGCTCCTGGCGTTCCTCTGCAGGAAGGTCATACGTCTGTAGATGTTTTATTTTGTCCCTGGATGAGATTGTCAGCCGGACAGAATCTGTGAGCACAGAAGGCTTCGCAAGTGGTGGCGAGGGAGAGATTTTCCTTGTGTGTCAGTGTCAGTTGAGAGTTACAATGAGAGAAGAGGGAGTCAGTCAGTGAAAATTACCTCTCTGTGTTACGAGGGACCTGACATTGACTCATGAGAAAATTAATTGCTCACAGTGCTTTTATAACTCTTGTGTCGTCCTCCGGTGTCAAATACGAACACGGTGAATTTGTCATTTCTTGATTGCTGCCGCCACTGTTTTAATTTCCACCGTCTCCTCATTCCCCGAAATTAAAATTCCCTCCTCGCTCCTTCTCATGCTCATCGTCCTCTTCTCCCTCTTATTTATATATATATTCTTTTACTCTCTCTTCCTGTCTTTATCAGGTCAGTGCTGATTTCATAAAGAGCGGCGACTTCACCCTGGAGAGGATGGGAGTGACGTACAAGGCCAAGGCCCACCTCAAAACTCCATTTGACCCTGAGAATAAACGAATCAAGGGCGTCTATGCTTGAGGACCACAAATGAAAAAAAACAAACTGAAACAAACACATTCTGCTCGGAGGCTGAGAGAGGAGCAGCTGATTTTTCTCTTTTCTTTCATGGATGGTCTCAAATCTGTATCGAGATGTTGAAGAGGATCTGATTTGAGTCTGTTATGTCGGAGTGGTTTTTTGTGTTAAAGGTGATTTAAGGTCTCAGCTCCAGATTATTGATGCCCACTCTGGATTTGCGAGTTCTCTGGTGAACATGACGAAGGTAAATATTTCTTGTTGTCTCCTGCAATCAAGAAGCTAGCACAGTGGTAATTCAGATTCACTCCTATGATTATACTGTAGGTGCAATTGTAAAGTTTAACATGAACTTCAAACATCTGCTGGCTTTGTGACTATATCACAGCTAGAAGGGCTGAAAGTGACACACGCAGGTTGGAAGTGCTAGATTTCTGCACATGCCCACAGTCTTGCTTACCTTGGAAAAACTTATTGTAGTAAAATAATGAGAAGGCTTCATGAAATATTGACTAAGCAAGACTTTTCCAGATTAATGGTATCAGGGTCACATATTGTGTGTAACAGCACAGTTAAAGGTCCAGTGTGTAAGATTTAGGTGAAAGGGAACTATTGGCAGAAATTGAATGTAGAATAATCCTCATGATGTTTTCACTAGTTCATTTCATTTAAAAATGGTATGAATTGTAGTTTTCTTTACCCCAGAAAAGGTCCTTTATATTTTAATACGTTATATTTACATCGAGGGGACCCTCTCTACAGAGGCTGCCATTTTTACAGTAGTCCAGACTGGACAAACTAAACACCTTTTGAGTTTTTATCACAACTGAAGCTACCACAGGTTCTTTTTCAWGTTTGGAARGAGAGGGTGRGGWGAGGGGTRTTCAGCTGCAACATGCAATTTCAAAACTAGATATCACAAAATTCTACACACTATTTTACCTATATATATATATATATATATATATATAGAGAGAGAGAGAGAGAGAGAGAGAGAGAGCACAACAGTATCTAAAACATTGCTGTACATTGAGGCTCCAGAACCATTGTCTTCCTCTTCTCCAGAAGCAATGTTGGAAAACCTTAGCTAGTGCACATGTCTGAGTCCAAATTCTGAGAAAGTTTGTCTTTATTTTGAGGACGGTTCTCATTTTAAAAACAACATTTGTGCATGTGTGTGTGTGTCAAACTCAGGCTGTTGATTCTATTTTCTGTTTATTATGGTGCTGTAATCTTGTCATGTATTTTTCCTGTGAGACCATATTGTACTACATTAAGGAATACAATACAAAGTATTCCCAAACTACACAGTTGCCCCGCAGGTGTCTGGAGTGAATTACAATGACTGATGTTAGTGCTGATAATAATGACTGAACAGAGTTTTACTCATGTGGTGTCTAAATGTGAGTGTTCATCAGAGGTGGAGGAGAAGGTGGAGAGAAACATCCTGAGGCACAGAGCGTAACAACCAGGGACTAAACACAGCTGAGGAAGAATGATGACAGGAAAAAACTTCAGTTAACAAGAAGCAGCTGTTGATGGTAACTTGCTTTTTGAGAATTTGCATTGACTATTGATGTGTTAAAGAAATCCCCTTTGTCTTACTTTTCTGTTAAAGTCAAACCTAATATTTTGTGTGTCTGCTTCACAGTGATCTCTGTAAACAGAGTCTATACAGGCTGTGGGATGAGATTTTGAGGCAGGAAGTCTTCTGGTTTCTGTGTCTAGTTCGTCCAGCAGGCTTGAATCCGCTTTTTAAGTTACCTGCTTTCATATGCAGGTATAGCTATTAATTGAAATGAGCCAAAATGTCATCCGGACCTAAAACACCTACAGAAAGTATCTCTGTATGTGTTTTGTGCAGAGAAAGGTTTGACCCGTGTTTTAAAAAAGAACCAAGTTGGACTGTAAACGGTGTAAAGCAAATGGAAGATGAAAAGTCTTGGCTCCGATATCTGCTGTTTAAACTAGAAGCCTCGAAATATTGGCTGCTGCCCCAGAGGCTAATTCATCGTCAGACGATATAGCCGATGGACTTGACTTTTAATAGAACAGTTCAGCTGGCCTTATTTCCAATAGCACTGTGAAGCATCTATGAGGTGTGCATTAAAATCCACACGAGCCTGAATAACTAACACTTAACATTTGAAACTATAAGCTTATTAGAGTGGAGTGGTGATGGGTACAGTGGGACTAAACTGCAGGACTATAGAAAATCACTTACATTAATTGAGCTGAATCACAGCCTGAGTCAGTGCAGGTTCTTTGGGAGAAACTCTTTATATTTAGAATTATTGGTGCCTTTACATGTGAACTGTTTGTGTTAATAAGTGATAACAAGCTTGCTCCCCATGGCTCCTGTTTCAGTGTCAACAGGAAAAGTGTGAAATTAAAAAACACTAGTTTATCGCCTTGTTTACTGACTCATGTCTTAAATGCTGGTGCTGGTACATGTACAGTAATTAAAGCTATTTTAATAATTCTTTGTGTTTACATGAGTGCCTTACGAGTCAACTACAGTGTGCGTCTATAGATTTTGATTTGACACCTGGTATTTAATTTAATTCCTGATTACATTTTCCATCTGTGTTTATATTAACGCTCTTCAGGCCAAAGAAGAACCAATGCTCGTTACACGCACTGTGTGAACATCAGCTCAAAGCAGTGGTAGAAACTAGAGGAAGGCGTCCGTGTGTTTAACTCGCCTCTCAGGTGTGTGTGTGTGTTGCGCCCAAAATGTTTACTAATGTGGGATGATTCATGGATTCTGCCCAGACGACCATTAATAACCGAAACGGTTGTTCTCAGGAGTAGCTCAGGTTAATAACAAGATTTATATGGGAAATGTGAAACCTACTGATAAACGCTATCACCGCTGGTTCTTTAAACCACAGGTTTCTCCTCACGCCATTAAGTTTCTCTTCTTCCCTCAAGTGCAAACAAAATTAATAATTTCTCTTCCCTGAGCTTTTAAATATTGTTTTCCTAATGTTGCATCCTTGTTATTTTGTCGTCTAACAGTTTGACCAATTTAAAAACAAAATAACTGATCAGTGGCAAGTTGTGATGACCAGTTAAATTATGAACCTAATGTTAATTTAGGGATTTATTCTGTCTGAAGTGATGTGTGAATAAATTCCTTTTTAACTGCAACATTTTTGTGACATTATTTTACACATAGAAAATACACAAAAACACAGCAGCATGTACAAAACGACAATAGAGATAAAGTGACTGTATGTATTTGCCATATAATGTGTATTTATTATGGATTTATTACAGTTATTGACATGTAACAATCTTTCATGTCTTAATAATGTTTGTCATCATTATCAACAGAATCATGGGGAAGAAAAAATAACACAATATGAAAGAGACGTAAACTAATTCATTTACATTTACATAAAATAAGTGAATAAGCCAAAAGCAAAGCTTTACAACACTTATGTCCATAGCACCAATTTGCTAGTCACACATATTTTTCTTCAGTACATGCCCGTCCCACTTCTACGTCCAGCTCCGCTGCTTTAAAACATGACACAGGAAAAGCACTTTTTCATTAACTTGTGTCTCTGGATAGTGGATGTCTTTATAATAAGCCTATAAATACAGCGTTTGTCAGAAAACCAGATAGAAGCCTGAAGCTAATCCCCCAAACACAGAAATAAAACCAGGACACATTTATCTTGCTGCAGGTTTAGTGCCCTCTCCCCCAGACTGAGCTCACACCGGGGGTGTAAGGGGTCGACCGGTGGGCAGTGGTCCTCCTTCGCAGGGGTACCGAGGTTTCTCCAGGACCTCCGTCACCACCGGTATGGGCTGCTTGTCCCACTCTCCCTGGAGAGACACACACATATACACAATGCTTCTGACACCTGATGTGTTGCTTCGTCCTATATTTCAAATAATGACAGAAATAAGCACCGTCCTTGATATTTTAGACGGCTGATTTTATTGAGGCAATTGCACAGCTGTCACCGGGCAATATATCCATCATTGTGCAGCTTCAAAAAACACACTCAAGGACACACTTTTGTTGTGTTGAGTGTGTTTTTTATGGGACATCACAGGCTGCTTCCTTCTCTTTTCACCAGAACCTCTGTCTACATTCGTTTTTACATCCAAGGTGATTAATTCCACTACAGTGCTTCTCCAGTAAGTCAGTTAATTTATGAGTCACTTACACAGATGATAGAATACAACCTTGTTTACATTGCGCTGTGTTATTTATTGTAATGACTCACTGTGTGTGTTTTTCCGATCATGATGTCTGTGCAGATTTTATGCTCTTGCAGCGACAGTGAAAACATTCGTGCATCATTAGCTCCTGGTGTCACATTAGATACCTGTTGTGCTTCTGCGTGTTCATAGCAAAATGTAGCTGAGGAATCTCAAATCATTGTTTTATTCTTTGCTCCTCTCTAGCTCAGCCTCTCTTTACCTGAGTAGGTGGCTGCCTGCTGTTGTTGTTGATTTCAAGTTTTTGTATCGTTGTCCTTTCCACCTTTCATATATTCCATATTTCTCAGTATAAAAGGGCCAAAGTGTGAACGCTGCAAAGACTACAAGCTGAACTGCTGCATCACTTTAAATATATTTTTCACATGATGGATTCCCCTCAAAATATCTTGAAAATGGTTGTCTATAAAATGCCTTTCAGCGGCGACCCCCTTACTGTCAGTTTATTTAAAGGCCGCCCACGCAGTTGAGCTTAAAAGCCCTGGAAACATTTTCTCTCAAAACTGACTGGCTCCCACATTAATGCAATGTCTTCTGCCAAAACCAGACCGGTATTAGATTCTTCACATGACAGATCTCTTGTCCTGTTTCTCTTGTCTGTGCTTGGTCATTTGGAAAAGTCTCATCATTCTGTGCAGCGATCAGGACTTAGAAATGTGTGGATGGTTGCTGGAAGGTTTGCTGTTGCCAGAATCAAGATGTTGTTGTTTTTTTATCGTCACACTTCACAAATACTAGTGGACAATATTTTCCCCTTAGAAACACATTACACAAGAAAAGTGTAAATGACTCCTCACAACATACTAATCACTGTATATGATATACAGTATATGTGTGTGGGCACCCACCGTTTGCCTGATCTATTATATTATATACTTGTTTCCAAACCTAAATCATCTAACATTATGTTTTCCTTCTTGATGGATGAGCCCAAACACTAGAATCTGTTCCTGTCATTTGTTCTTGCAACTGATTTTACCTATATTGAGAAGAAACACTTTTTTTCTGGCCGTTTGTGTGTGTGTGTTTGTGTGTTGTTTGTGTGTGTGTGTTATGAGCATAGATCTTACAGAGTGAAGACATTTTTTCACATTTTCCAAAAGCTGTTTGAGGGTTCAGACTTGGTTTTAAGGTTCAGGTTAAAGTTAGGTTTAGATCAGGGTGTCCATTACGCCTATGAGTGTCCTCACTAAGATAGAAGTACAACAACCTGTGTGTTACAAGTAAAGATCATGTCTGCTCAGCCTTGTCTGACACTGTTGTCCAACAGATGTCCACTTTTGAACTGATTTAATTGGGGGCTTGACAGTCCATTGAAGTGAGTGTGAGTGTTGGTATGTGTGTGATGGGGGCTTACAGGAAACAGGCGTGCGCTCGACTGGTTGCAGTGCATTGAGATGGGGGCCGTGCTGTAAAGCGAGTCGAGCACTTCTCCGGTGAACGCATCCCACTGTAGCTGAGAATACTGCTCCGTCACACTAACCTCGCCGCACACACACCCATCATTCCCCTGGAACCTGCAGGGAGGATGGGATGGCATGAGCAGAGGGAGGTTGAAGGAAAGTCGATAAAAGAGGGAGGCAGAGGGAGATTGAGAGAAGGAAGGAGAGATTGAAAGAAAGCAGTAAGAACAGTCTCACTTTAAATAAAGCATCTGGTTCTCGAGATTAAAAGAAGTAATCACCACTCGAGTCCCTAGGAGTGAAGGATGGAGAAGGGGAGGGATGAATGCTGAAAACAAAAACTGCTTAGTCACAGGGGAGATGGGGAAGGAACCAGAGGGAAGGAGGGACAAGGAGGCCGAGCAAAGGATTTCAAGGAGAGAAGTAGAGAAGGTTTTTGGATGTGTGCGCTACCTGTTAATGAAATTAAAGTATTTCTGCAGGTATCCTGGGTCAACGTGGGTTTTGCAGAGCTCCAGCTGAGTCCGAGGATAGTAGTGAATGTAGTTGACGCACATTTCCTCCATGATGCCGAAACCGCCCTGAGGAGACATGGGAAGGGAAAGTGAATATCAGGAGGGGGGAGATGAGAGCATTGGAAATATGGTGAAGATGTAGACGAAAAAGAGGAGGATAAAGGAGATGATTCAGGGTTATTGTGTTGTGCTCAGCTCTCAAGGTGAACTCAAACATTATGGAGATAGTGCTGTGTAATGATGGTGTGCTGCTCACCACTGTGGGCCCGCTCCTGTCTTCTGTGTTGTAAGTACACTTTGTTACGAGCACGTCGCCCTGCAGGACCGAGCACAAACACACACCAGCAGTTCACCATGTTGTGAGATTCGACAAAGAAGGCTGCAGATAAATTGAGGTTACTGACAGAGGATTCATTATTTTCTGAGAGCCAGTGGCCAGTTCACTGCTGTTCTGCAGGATGTTGCTCTGTGAAGCTCAGCTGCTGCGTTTTTTTTAATCTGGTCCGTCCATGGGGAGTTTTTCTATATCGCAGCACTGATTTTACAGTCTGTCCCTATTTCCACTCAATTTAAGCACCTCACACAGCAGCAAGGCGTTCTAATGCAATACTTTAAATGCAAAGGTGAAGGAAAGATACATCACCACCATTCAGGGGAGCTCGGCTGAGGTCACTGCAGAATAGTTACATTTTTTATTCTTGTCTGAAAGTAAAATCTGCGCAGTAGGAAAACAAAACAGCCTTTGTTAATTGCAATGCAAGCGAGGTCACCAGCTTTATACTTACGGGTAAAACGTTTGTCATCTTTCTTAGAACTCGAATTGTCTGTAAGAAAGAACACAAATGTAACACGTTAAAAGGAAAATACACGTATATTTTCTTTTCTATGAATACTTCACGTTGATACATTTTCTCATTAATGTTGTAAAGTACTGTAATTTTGTTTGTGTGCACCTAAACCTGAGGCTGTAATCTGTGAACTACTGCCAGTGATTTCAAAAAAGAGTTCCTTGTTAGCACTCGATATATTTATATAATGCCTTTTCATCTGTAGCATTTTAACTTGCTGTTAACTCATTTATTTCACACACATTGAGATGACTCACCGGTTGCTTGTGTGTGTGTGTGTGTGTGTGTGTGAGAAAAGGCCTATTATCTTTGCTGAAAATGGTTTATGCTCTAATGATACAGGTTCACTCACATTAGTCCGACATCAACGGCAGCTGGAGATTTTATCAGGCGGTCGGCCAGATGTCCTCCTCCTCTTTCACTTTATCTCACACTCTTTCTGTGTGTGTGTGTGTGTGTGTGTGTGTGTACCTGCCTCGGGATATTGTGCATAAACAAAACACAACAGATGTCAACTGCTGTTTCTTAACAATGTTAATAGTTTTTGGAGGTTGAGTAGATGGGCAGGGAGGGTTCAGGCTTTGTGGATGGAAACTGGGATATTATTCTGTGCTGAAGCATAAACTCATGACTCATAAGTGTATCCACTTCACTAAGAGCTTAAACTTTCTTTAAAGGTCCGAAAATCGAGATCAGCTGGAAACTTAAGTAATCCTGCGAGGAGGCCTTCTCTTTTCACGTGTGTTTTCTTATCTTTAACACTTGTATTAGAGGTCATGTGCAATTGTTAGTTTCTTATCTCTCATGTTTTCTGACCAAAGAGACCAAATCGAGTATTTTAGCCAAAAGGAGAAAGAATTATGCAAATGTAAATGTTGGCAAAGGTGAACTATTCTTCCAAAACTGCTCTATTGATATTCTTATTCCATTTTTCTTAAGGTCAGCAAAGGCTGAATTATAAAACCTTCTACAAACTGATCCCTAAAGTACCCATTGTCTGTGAGGCAGATACTTTCTGTGGCTCATCCATGTGATTCAAAAATTATTAAATACTGACAGACATGTTCCTTCATTATGAGGAACAGGGGCTCTGTAGTTTCCTCTGCCACAGAGATTTGTGTTTTCACTCCTGTCCGTTTGTTGGTTGGTTTGTTTGTCAGCAAGATTACACACAAACTACAGGAGGGATTAGCACAAAACTTGGTGGACGGATGATTTCCTATCAGGAGTAATTCATGGATCTCAAGGAAATCACAAATCAGGCATACTTGGGGGACTGATGTCTATGAGTGTGTGTGATTTGGTGCAGCTTGATTGTATGGAAGTAAACTGATGTCCCTTGTCTGAGGTTTGCACCACTCTTTAGTCAATATCGTGCACACCTTCCATGCTGCCATAAATACTCACTTCTCTTTTTAAAGACTGATATTCTACATTTTTTATTGGCTGTTTTTAAATGATGACCTTCACAGGAACCAAGGGGCACACATGTTTTGAGGCTTTTTCTTGATAAGAAAAACATAAAACAACACAGCATTATTTTGTCTTTGTGTAGCTCCACTTCTTTACTACAAAAAACTACAATAACAGTCCCTTTGCTCAAGTCATAAATAATATAAAAACACCTTGTCTATAACAATAACACTACCGACCTTCAAGAATTTGCTCATGATATTCAACGTATGTAGTTATAGAAGCCACAGGAAGGAAATCGATGCAGGTGCTGTTCATTTCTCTCTAATATGAGAGACTTTACACAAAAGTGCTGCTGCTCACCTGGTAGTGTGTACTGAAGTGCTGGTCCTCCTGCACCACCTCCAGCTCTTTGCCTCCCCTCACCAAAACTGTCCGCACCCCACGCCCCGCCAGGTGGGTGTGTAGCTGGGAGGCAAATATATAGATTCCTCCTGAAGGCAAAGCCTGAAAAGAAAAACAAAAGAACAGACTTTTTTCCTCGCCCAAGCTCCAACCAAAACAATTTTACTCCAGAGACACAAAACCTAAAATACGTGGACATTATGTGTACGTACTGTCTGGGTACACTTGGAGTTGCAGTACCCGCTGAGGTAGAAGGAGTGTTGTTTGGGTGGGATAGCCATGATCGGAGTATAAACCAGACCAAGCTCTATGATCCCTGCATCAAACCGCCTCAGGCTGGGGGTGTAATGCAACCGTATCCCTGATGAGTCATGGCGGCCTGTGTGCACAGTATCATGGAATATTAAAATGCAGTCTGTTTCTTAGTTAGATCGTTTAAAAATATGTAACAGCCAGAATTATATTTTGCATGAAGTATCTGAATAAAGGAATAAACACGTAAACTGGGCTGAATCTCAGATGCAAGTTTAGATTTTTTTATAGATAGAATTAAGAAACACTTTATAAATATTTCACAGGGGTGTGAAGTTTGTAATATGTCTTCTCCATCTGCTTCAGGTCAGCACACATGCATCTGGCATTCACTGTCAACATTCCTAAAATGTTAAGAAGTGATTGGTGGCCTGGAAGTTAAATAACCACCATCTCAGTTAGAGTCCAGCTGGAGAACTTTGATGAACGTCTCAGAAAACAAATTTAAATAGATCACAGAGGGCTTTGCTGTTGCTATTCTTTGGGCTTGTTTTTCAGTGATCTTTTGTTGCCTCAGCTTGGAGTCTCTTTGAAGATGAGCAGATACACAAAATCTTTAAAGAAAATAACTAAACTCTGAAACAAGAGATGTGCAGAGGATTGGACGACGGTATGGAGGAGATGTGCATACTGTAAGGTCAGATCAGGACGAGAAAAGTCTGTAGTGATTCTTTTCAGCCGACATCAAAAAGTACATCTGCAAAAATTTTAAATGAATCGCTCTGTTCAAGAGAAGCCCCGGGCTCCTCGGGTGAGATACAGAGACTCCTGCTGCTTCTGTGTGTGTTAGTAAGGAAGAATGATCTGAAGACTGAGCGTGTGTGCGCGTGTACACGTGCACTGAATGTACCAGATATAAGTAGAGGGTTGTGATAATGAACCTCCAGCCGAAGAAACCTGGAGGATCCTGGTCCACCCATAGGCAGCCCTGCATCAGGAGGGTAGTAAAAAGCCTGCAAGCACACACACACAAATTCAGGACACACAATTCATTAATCCTTTCATTTATGCGGAGTTGCTTTGAAGTTGTAGCAAAGGCTGTTCAAATATCTTACAGACGATTCAGGGCCGTGGAGTAAAAACCTTTTTAGATTTAATATCATCCTCCTGATTCCAAACATGTGGTTTGTTGTTAGGAGACATGTTACATTTAAGAGTGGAGGAGACACGTGTGGTGTTTGACAAGAGGTCAGTTTTCCATCCATTCGTTTGGTGCGAATATTTAACAAACGTTTCAGAAAATCAAATAATTTGGATTTTGTGTTTCTGTCCACTTGAGATTACATTATTAAAAGAACTCCAATCAAACCTCAAACAAAGGAAAAACAGGAGTGTATTTACGTGATGGAAAGATTGGTGAGGACGATTATAAAGAAAGAGACAATGACATTTCAAACTGTGTGATTCAGCAAACTGAAGTTTTGAATCACTTTATTTGCTATATACACAGTTTCCTCAAATTAGTTGGAGACCATTTGGGAATCAATGATTATCAATTATTTCTCTGTGGTGAAAAGTTTGTATTCTAGCATCTGCACCCACCCTGTGGGACATTGATTGCATTTGTGAGCTATGCTTTCATTTTCCTCGTCTTTCAGTCCTTGGGTTCAGGCTTTTTTTTCTGCCTATCAAAGCAAGAAAATCATTTTTGAGTCACCGCCATCCCCCTGGGTGTCAAACCTCCCATGCTGTTTATCGAGAAATCTTGATTTGATCCTGATTCATCGTCTGTTTCTGAGAGAGGCCGACCTTAAGTCTCTACTCATGATACCGTATGTGATGGAAGAAAGAATTGATTTATTTAATCTTGCTTTAATATGAAATGGTGAAATCCTCAGAGACTCGCGTTCTCCCTGCTTTCACACACACACACTCACTTCTTTCCTTCCTCCTTCAGCCTCTGTCTCTGCACTCTGTCAGCATCCTTTATGATTGTTTCTCTCCTCCTTCAAACTTCCTCAACTCCTCTTCCCTCTTCCTCCATTGTTTCCGTGAGGCCCCTCTGATGCGGTGCCGTGGAGAATGAAACAACACTATTAAGAGGTGATGAAAGAGGCCTGAATATTTCCCACCTAATCTTGTCTTCGCAGCTCACAGCTCACAGAAGGCATCTTTACTTGTTTGTGTTTGGCCGGCAGATAATCCAATCGGAGAGGGGCCCGGCTGGCTGTGATACAGCGGTGAGCAGAGCAGAGAAATATGGTGACAGGCTCGCTGTTCCTTGTCCTCTTTGCTTTATGCGACTAGCGGGCGGCCTGCTGCTCGCCCGGTCAGCCGGCTGGTTGGTGGCCAGGTGAATGGCTGTGATTTACTGCCTGATGTGTGACTGAGTGAATGGATGAACAGGTGCTCGTCTCCAGTTGGGAGCTCGTTACTGTCCGCCCCTAAAAGACGACCTTGTAGAATGTCTATCCAAGCAGCTCGTTACAACCCATTGTTACTGTTTGAGAAGTTACGACAGGAGGAGAGGAGGAAGTCAGATGACAGTTTTATAAAGCTGTATGTGAAAACGATAGTAATATAACCATAACTGTGACCTTTCTGTTAACCACACCAAACTGTGAACTTTCCATAACCATGACCGTGTGTTTATTATTGTAACCAACAATGACAAAGGTCTGGTTCGCCTCCTTGGCTCGCCTTGAGGCCTTATTTTCTCAAACACTCCTCGGTTGTATAGCTATATACTTAAATATTCTCCCTATACAGATAAATGTAAAATAATTCAAATAAAATTCAAACTACTAAACTGGTGGAATATATTTTTTCACGTCCACCCATGTTTTCTCCCCTGTCCATTCGTTTGTTGGTCGGTTTGTTTGTTTGTTTGTTTTTGATTACAATATTTTCACTGTTTGCAGCTTGATTGAATTTAAGGAGACTGTTGGGCCTTGGCGGAGATATTCAATCTACTGAGTGTCAATGTTTGTTTGTCAGCAGGATTATGTAAAATCTGCTCAATGGATTTCCATGACACTTGATGGAAAAATGGGACATGGACCAACAAAGAATCTGATGAGTTTAGCTTTTTTTCTCTTTCTTTGTCAATGCGAGATATATGTGGATTCATGTTGGTGACAAATATGGCTGTAACAATCCCCACATGTTGCTGAGATCATGTTGGATTTAGAAGAGAATTAACAGTTTCTATGTATATTTAATAGTTTTAGAGCTGTATCCAGATGAACATGACAGATTTGGTGCCTTGGCAGAGGTATGCCATCTCCTAAGTGACACTCTAAAATGATTTGGCCCCTGAGTGTTCATGCGATGTGTGGATTCATTCATGTGTATGTGAGTGTCCGTGTCAGTGTGCTTCCCACACGCAGACTGTCTCCAGGCTCTTAATAAACTTGTGCCACGTGTGGGATCAATGTTTTCTGCTCGCACGTCGACGAGTGGATATTACTCTCGTAGGAGTTTTTGTTTATCTCTTATAATAGATTCGAGGACTGGACCAGAATCAAGCCTCATTCCAAGCCCCTCTCTTTCAATTACTGTAGGCTCTCTGTGGTCTGCACACATTAACCTGCAGAGCGTTTGCGTGTGTCTGTTTCCCATCATACCTCAGCACCCATAGCCCATGCAGCCAGCACGTGGCGGCAGGAGTTGAGCTTGCCCGGCTTCATCTTGTCATCACAGGAGCCGCTGTACTCGGGAACATCTTGAATATCCGGGGAACATTCAAACACCTCCATGTGATGCACAATGGCCTCGTTACCTGGAGTTACCATTGACTCATACTGACAGAAACACACACACACAGAGGAAGAGAGAGAGAGAGAGAGAGAGAGAGAGAGAGAAGTGAAAAAGAGGAAGTCGTGTTTCACGTGTTTTTACCACCACCCCTAGAAGCTACGGCAGTTTTAGGCAAGTAAATAGAAATTAACAAAAACTAATAAGTTATATAATGTATAACATGCTGTGAAATGATGTGTGTTTCATGCTGGATCTGTTCAGTAAATTTACGACATTAGCTCCTCCGCAGATGTGAGGTAACATGTTTGTTGAGTGTTTTACATTTTCTTTGATTCATGTATCTTGTGTCTGACCGTGACACTGCAGCTCATGTTTTCTTTCGGGCCCAGCCGGGAAACACGGAGCAGTGAGAGCGGCCTGCACTCGACCTCCATGTAAAACACCCACTCTAAATATACTCCATGTTAATTATGACGTTCGCACCATAACAATGTGGTTCTTGGGCATGTTCTCCGGCAGCTTCTGGATGAAGCACCAGTAGGTGGTCTCTTGATTTGGTATGATGACATTTGGCGCCAGGACATCCAGCGTCTGCACGCCTGGGGGCAGGGTGGGGGCCGGGGTGTCGGGGCGCAGCATGAGCACTCTCTGAAGCCCTGTGTGGATGCGGGACAGGTTCAGCTGCTCCAGCGAGGCGAGCGGTTTATCCAAGAAGCCATAGATGACGTGCACGGTTCCCTCCTGACCAAAAACAATGAGAAGAGAAAGGATGTTTGATGGATACAAAGCAGAACGTGCATTTCAAACTAATAGATTTTTATTAACAGAGAGAACTTATTGTGTTGTCATAGCAATGGGCATCGGTTTTGTGCCTGCAACTTAGTGGCCTGACGTGGTACCATGGAAACCATAATCATGATAACGAATGCTCCAGTGGAAATTGTGCTAATCATTCCGACTCTGTGAGTATTTCCTGTCCGCACCTGAAACCACGAGCTCTGCACGAACAGCCTCATTGCTTTTTAATACGCACCAAATACAGCAAATACAATATCCCTTGAACTTAGACACGCACCTTCTCACTCACACATGGAAACACGTAATGTTTAGAAACGCTGTGTTGATCTTCAGGCTGCACACAAACACCCTCTTTTCCTCCATCGTTATCTGACTGTCGAGTTGGTTCAGGACTGACAGAACTGATTTTTCAACTTGAGGTTGTAGGTGTAATGTCCCAGACTGCATCCTGGGTCATGTCATTCTGTTCTGAAGCAGTTTCCTGCTTTGTTTTTGTGTCACGCACCTATTCCTTTCAATTCAGATCCACTTCCTCGCCTCATGTGCGTCTGATGTGTTGCACCTGTGTCCTCTGCCTCTGTATTTAGTCTCTGTGCTATCTCTAACATTTTATTTTTGTTCTTTCTCTTTAACTTTTTTTTTGTTTTCTGACCCTGCCTCTGCCTAGAGCTCTTTATGGATTTGTCTGACTGCTCTCTTGTGTGCTGAAGGTCCAGTGCCATGTTTTCTCTGTAGCAGTTTATACAGCTGAAACGAGAGGAACAATCTTAACTTAAGAATAGAGGAGCAAAGTCACAGCTATATAAAATATGGATTTTGCTAAATAGAGAGGAGCAGAGGTCCACCCAAATATTCCTGAGCAATGCACACTGCAGAACTTGACTTAAAATCCCAAAAATTATGAATGATTTATATTTAGTCATAGTCACATGTGCACACACACACACACTCTACACACCTCGATGAGGTAGTCTCTGGGATCACAGGTGCTGAACGGTCGTTTGAAGAGCAGGTAGAATCCGTCAGGTTTCTGTTTGGCTTCAATCAGCTCGTAGTCCTGCTGGCTGTCCAAAGAAATGCGACCCTCACTGTCGCTCCACGCATCCTGTGGGAAAGACACACATGCTGAGACGATTCAAACACACACACAGGATGATTTGAGTTGGGTCGATATTAGACAGTGGTCAGTCCTGTCTCTCACAGCTCATTTCCATTTTCAAGGAGGTGTAGATGCTGTAGTCATGTTTGAAACCATTAGTGGAAAGATATCAGGGGATTTGATTGTCCATGTAAACCAGGCTGCAGAATAATAATATTTCAAATTATGCAAAAAGTGACAAGGATCTAAAATATACATAAACTGTTTGAATGGTTACAGAGACAAAAAGAGGAGCTTTGTGCTGAAATGTCACAGGTCAAATAAATGTCACCTGACCAAAGATATTGTTCCTTAGAAAACCAGCAGAAATGGACACTGTTCAATTCAGTCTTTGACAGTGGCTCAGGATACGAGTCGCAGAGAGAGCGCAGAGTGGGAAACCTTCCCCACCTGGTGCAGAAGATTCTTCTTCTCTGCCAGGAGGCAACAGCTCAGTCCTTCTGCTTCTCTTCTGTTTTATCACATTCATATCTGTCCAGAATAGCACCTAAGATCATTATTTCTGTCTCCCTCTCTGTCCCTCTTATATAACTGTTCTGCACAAACTGCAAAAATTTTGAAAATACATACAGACAGTATATATACATAAAAAGAAAAAGATGTGGGCAGTATGTGTTATGCGTGTTACATGCCCATGTGGAGAATACAACCTCAGTTATCAACCTCAGTAGATAACTGAGAGACAGTGGGTTGTAATATCATACCAAAAGATTCTTGGTTTGTCTTATTTAAAATGCTGATGGTCCATACTAGCTTGAAAATGCCTTGTTAACATTTAGTCTCTATGGACAGAGTTTAATTCACAATTTTATAATTTATAGGGGATTTAGCTGCATCTATTAAAATACTGTATAGGCCTATATGTGCACAGAGAGCAGGAGCAGTGACCGTACACATTCCATACACGTATTATACAAGGTCTCAACCAAGTCTGAATTCAAAATGTGACAGCAAAACATATATGAAACATTTTTCGTGAGACTCAAAAGTTTGAAGTCATTTCTTCACCTACAGTGAATTAGCATTCACTGAGCTTTCTGTTTCTCATTCATTTCATACATATAATCCTATCGCAACATTAAAACAAAGAAAGGTAGAAATGCAAATGCAAAAACAAGGTAAATTGGATTTTTCTTATAAGATAAATTACTTTTCCAGAAAAATTTATCAGCAATTTAAACATTTTTTATTTGAATTTATTAAAAAGGCCCTGGCCTGTATCTGGCATTTTTACTCATCTTAATCAGCACAGGACACAATTTTGATATGCTAATGTCTGCTAATGATTCCCAGATGAACTTCAGCTATTTGTGCAGTCTGACTGATTTTCAATTAGCAGGGCCCGATAACATCCTTTTGCGACTGCGTATGTGATCACGAAGCGAGCCGTTCGCCGGCTCCTCGGGCAAAGACACCAATCTCACGCCTCGGGGAACACAGACAGAAAAGAGAATCCTCTGCCGCTTAAAGACTCTCATGTAATCCCTGTTCATTTATGAATTTCACAAATGAACAAAGAGAGAAGTTTAAAGATTGTAAGAAGTTTTTTTTACACCCTCGGTTGAGAAACTTGACATTGAGGTGAATCCTGTGTCAGTAAGACTCTCATACAAACTCTGAGATTTATACCAACAATAGGCTTGCTTACCCCAAAGAAGCTCTTGGTCCCAGAGTCCCACAGCACCACCAGGTCGGCGTTGGTCAGCTCCCCACGGTCAGACATTCCCAGCACCACGCCATACCTGAGCTCCGCAACCTTCAGTGCCATGAACACCTCCTGTGCGGCGTAGCTGATGTTCCAGGACAGCTGGAGCTCCCCGCGTGGGTCAAGGGGCACACGGAAGGGCATGGGCAGAGGTGGCAGAGGGGTGGAGGGGCTCATTTTGAGGTCGGACACATTGACGGCGTTGGTGGGGGCCTGGTACGAAGCCACCAAGATGACCATCAGGGCAGCCAGGGCGGTGAAATACATGACGGTGATGTCCTGAAGGCGAAGGTTTCTGCTGAAGATCCTCATTCCTTAATGACGGAATCAGCTTCAATGAGCAGTGGTGAACAAAACTACTTTCCAGAATGTATCTTGAGTTCAATTCAGTAGTTCTGTATCTGCTCTCTGAACTCTCTGGTCTTCTTACCTTGTCAGCTCCGCTCTCCTTCTTCAGCCTCAGCAGACTCAGTATCTTCCCCCGTAGTGATCAGGTGAGGTTTATTCTTTTCTTCTCATGTTTTCTGTCCTCTCAGGCTGTAATTTTCTGAAGTTTCTTTAACTTTCCAGTCTTTTTCTATGTCCAAGCCGCCCTTGCGGTTATTGTCTCTTTCTTCTGACCAACTGCTTTGTCTCTCGTCCTGTCTCTTCTCCTCAACTGGGTTTTTTAAGAGACCCCTCCCTCTGGACTTGTCTGTTTTTTATCCAGCCAAATTGCATTACATTTGTTGAGGGAAATTGGATTGTATTCTTTAAGCCCTGAGGTCAACCATGATTCTGCACATCTGCCAGCCCCTAATTGATCCAAGCCCAACCATGGACATTATCATGATCAGTTTCAACTAATGTTATCGCTCGCTCCATCTTTGTCTTTTTGTGCTTGGGGAACATGTATCTTATGTTTCCATGTGTGTTGCCTGAGAAAAGAATATTCCAAGCCCAATTGTTCTCTTGGATTTTTGATTGAAAGTGGATTTAGGGGGCAGCGAGCACTTGCAGGCCCGTAAACAAGGCATTAATGTATTAGGCCGTTTCCTTAAGCCAGCGCCTCAGGCTGCAGAGGACCTAATCAAACTGTCAATTATGGCTTTCAAAACAAGAGGGACACATTCAGGTTGGTTTCAAAGGTTAGAACAGTCCCTGTGGAAAAGAAGCATTTGTGATTAAGTCTGTGTGTCTGTTTTTTGGTTACATCGGACAAATGGATTAGGAAGACATTATTAAAGAGAAATCAAATATTGTTCTTTAGAATGTTCCCCACCGATGAGACTGAATCAGCGTCAGGTGAGAATGCAGAGGGAACCTCAAGGGAACATGGTTTCGTTCCAGGCCCAATCAATAGTTTGTTTTTTTGTTTTTCATTTACTCGGAAAGTATTAAAAGACGTCCTGAGCCAGTCCAGATGGTACCCTGTTTCCACTCAATATGCTAGGCTAAGCTAACCTTCTCTGAAAATACCTTATTTTTACAGGACAGGAAAGAAAGAGTCTTAAGGAGAGGCCATCATCATATATTTCTATTTGTTGATGTATATATTGTTATTATGTGATTTTTATTATGGTTACTGTTGGCTGAACTAATTTCTCAATTAACAGCTTTTTAAGCATGTGCTTCTAGTTTTGCTGCTTCTGTCACAGGTCAGAGTTGACCTTTTTGCTTACTCAGCATTTTGACGACACTGTCCATCAACCAGAGAACTATATAATCAGACAACAATTTCCAAACTGAGACATCTAGTTGAGTTTTATTCTAATACACCAAAAGATTCTTCTTCTTCTTCTTCTCTGCCTGATTGAGTTGCTAATCCGCTGGTAAAGTCTTTGGTTGGACAGTAAACCTGCAAGCAGCTGCAAACCCCCCCCCCACCCCTCAGTAAATGAAGTCACAAGTATAAACACGTACAAAGACCATTCCTGGATCAGCGGGTGCACATGGGATTTGAGAAGATAATGAAAGGGAGGTACTCATGGGAACATTAGAATACAAAAATGAACACTCCTGAAAAGCAACTCCACACCACGCTGCAGGTGTAATCCAAAAACCACATCCATCATCCAGTTTATAGGAAATTCAACCTCATATGTCACTTCTGCACATTTACATCTGATTCTATAGGATGATTCAATAAATGTCCTTTTTCTGTGAATCCATCTCTAAATGAGCTGTATGGTCAATGCAAATTCTATGTTTTTTGCACATGACGTCAAACCACTGAATCTTATTTTCTGGAAGCAGCTCAGAGAAAAATGTTTGTATTGGAGCAGAAAGCAGAGCAGAAAGGCATAGACTGGTATCATGTTGGTTAATGTAATAAAGACCATTTGTCCCTGAGGCAAACAGAGATCTGTGTGTCCTTCTAATGTCTCTGGCATTCATGTCTTCTGTCTCTCACTCTCTCTCTGTGAATCTCTGTATCTGTGCAATAATTGTTTGTTTTTATCATTTACACCATCACTTCTCTACCTCTTCACCACGTCTGTCTCCCCCCTGTCGCAGCACTCTCTATTACTGCTGAGCATCCGCTCTCTCGCTGTCGTCCTGCATTCTCGTTTCTCTTACATACACACTTATCTTTCTGCTGCTGCTGCTGATGTGTCAGCAAACACAAATGAGACGAAACACCATAAAGTCGGCAGTGATCTGGGGGGAGGAATGGGGGATGGGTGGGAGGAACGGATTCAGGGAGTAAATGATGGGCCCTTGTGTAATCGTGTCTGTGGGTGTATTTATGCAAAAAAAATAAATAAAACAAAGCCTGGGGGTATATGTGACATTATCCTGCCAAGAACAATCCAGATATTACCCCAAAAACCTTCCCATCATGCTTTGCTTTCTTTTTGGGACAAACATGGACATGCAGAAACTCAGATGACGTTTATGCTCTAAATGATCCATAAGTACACTTCATATTCACTGTGGTATGTCATTTAGCTGTGTTGTGTTAGTTTAGGGTTTGTATTTAGGTTCTGGTTGTATTGTATTATTTGTATATTATAATATAATTAGTCCTGCAAAATCTTCAGATTTTACAGACACTGCATTAGAGATACATAATGTAAATATAGTCAAGGTAATTTTAGAAAAAGAATCTATATTCTTTGCATTTATTGTATAAATAAATATAAAATAACTGGATTAACATTATTATGAGGCCAAAGGTCATGACCCCAATCGATGCATGAACCCCTACCACCATCTGCCCTGTGTGCACTGTGTATGTACTGTGTTTGTACACTATGACCTCTGGGTTAAACACACTATATATGACGGTGTTGTTATATAGAAAGAGCATTCCTGCAGAAAATTGCAGGAATTCAATTATACACAATTTTAGATTTCTGTGTGCGTAGTTGTTTGAGGTTTGTGGGGGGTCTGGAGTCAATCCCTGCTGACATTGATTAAAATATTAGACTCGTCTTTGTTGACATTTAATGAGCATGTGTATGATTTGCTGATCAGCACCCATTGTGGTCACCTTGGGCTAAATTATTCCCCTAAAATGCAGTGGATCAGGGAGGTTTTGGAGGCCCTATGCTTGTTTTTGTAATCCAGGAAAACAAATTAATTTAAAAACTGAGTTGCAATAAATCAAACAGCTGTTAACATAATTGTGTTCACCCGTTTGTTGATATCGAATTTGTATTTGAATTTAATTGAAATTCTGAATCTTATTTTCTTTTGAGCACAAAAAGACAAAAACTACGAATATGAGGTGAGCCACTGTGGTATATCAGACAGAGAGAGAGAGAGAGAGAGAGAGAGGGATGGATAAAAACTCACCTCCACACCACCCATCCAACCATCTCATTCTCTCCTAGTATAAATATTTCAACACCACACACTCTCAAAGTGCTCTAATCTCCACTTCTGTGACTTTGAATAATGAATGCAATAAAAACTCACACTGCTACTCTTAGCGTTGCCTCAAACTGCCCTCGGTCTGATGTGAATGGGAGAGGTGAGCAGTTGTAGGGGTGGACTGGATAATTCAAGGAGACGATGATTGAAGAATTTGAGGAGAGGAGAGAGAGACGGAGAGAGGGGGAGAGTGGGGGGAAGTAAAAACAAGCGGGAGAACGGTTCGGAGGCTGACATGACGAGAATACTGTGACATAAAGAGAAGCAGCAGCAGCACATCACAGGAGCAGAGTAACAAGTGGGAAACAATCGTCCCAATGTGTCCCTCAGTCTGCTGATAGACTGATAGAGACGGAGTGAAATGACATGAGAGAGATGCAAAGAGAGAAGAATGATCCTTCCACTTGAGTCCGTACGTTGTCCAAATTGAATTTAATGAACGTTTTGTTCCAGACACTGAGCAACTATGTCTGCCCACCTTGGCTAAATCTCGCACAGAGAGGACAGGTGTGATTTTTCAAATTATCTTTATAGAGCTGGCTGTCACATATTCATGTAGTTTGAGTGATTAACTGCAGGGACTTGTAAGTGGTTGAGTTTAATGAATCCACTCTGAATTCTGCAGCAGCGTCTGGTTTCCTGCAGAGATGGGAGGACACAGTGAAGGTTGACTTTCAGGTTTGGGCCACAGGAGGCTGCAGTGTGACGGTGGCTGGTAATACACTCGCAGGGTTTATCAGAGGACACAGGCGTGCACATGCACACACACACACACACACACACACAATTGATATTAGATTAAGAAGTATCAAAAGAATAGTTACACATGTATCACTTCTTCATTTGAAAAAAACGCTGAAGGTTTTATCTTCTATGGATGTCGACATGTCGTCATTCTGTTATACTGATAATCTTTTTACTGTTCACACATACGTCACCGTATCTAGCCTCTATACTGACAATTGCCAAATTGTTTTGTAAAGGTTATAAATCTAATAAAAGTAAATAGGAAGTTTAAAAGTGATTTTATGTGCTGTGCAGTTTGTCTAATGACACAAACGCACACACCTAACCCCTAAACCTAACCCTAACTGTACACCTAAACTTGACCATGGCCAGTTCATACCTTACCTTAAACTTAACCTAACCACAGTTCTTATCTTACCCCTAACCTCAACTATTGTTACTGCTTGCCTAACCCTAACCTTAACATAAACCTTAACCAAATTTGAACTTAACCTTAACCTAACCTTTACCTAAACCTAACCTTTACATTAACCTTAACCTAACTTAAACTTAACCAGAACCTATACCTATCCCTCATATCATCACTAACCTTAACCTGGACCTCACACACACATCATAGACTTTGTATTTGTGATTCCTGCAGACATATGACGATGACTTTTTGACATGTTATATTCAGTATAGATGTCTGTGTAATTTACAATCGCTCCATTGTCTTTAGGTTCCTTCAAACGCACACATGTCACAAATTACTACACCAAAATCTACTAGGACCTCATCCAGCCTCTCTTTATCCCTCTCCCTCTCTCTCTCCTTCTCTCTCTCCCTCTCTCTCTCTTGTCTCCTCTCTCCTGCACCCATAGCCAATCTGTCTGTGTGACTAAAGCGCCATCTCCCAGGCTGCACTCTCCAGGCTGCGTTCACTCACTGGCTCTGGAGGCACTCGGAGGAGCCACCTCTGGATCGAAAGCGCATTTCACTCGCCTCTGCGCGCACGCATACAGCGCCGGACGTCGCTCTGCAGAAATCAACAATTACACGGAGCTCCGGCAACAACAACAGCCCTTCCTGCAAAGATAGTCTGTAGGTTTTATTCTGTGGGACTCGGCAGCAGCTGCGAGCACTTTGGAGCATCTGGGCAGGTCGGTTTTTATCGACAGAGATGGGACGCGATGAGAGAAACATACACGAGAGGGAGGAGGTAGCCTAGAAAAAGAAAAAAGGTGAGAGAAGAGGAGCGTGCAAATAAAAATCCGGGACCTGGAGCAGCTCCACAGCAAATATCTGACCTCCTCCTCCTCCTCCTCCTCTTCCTCGGACGGTGGCAAAACTGGTTGTTGAAATGGAGATGTCGAGAGTTGCGTCTCCTCCTCCAACACACGCGCTGCTGAGGCTGCTCACGATGATGATGATGGTGTTTGCGTAGGAGTGCTTTATTTTGCGGCCAGCGTTGGTTATCTAGTCTCTGTACTGTTCAAACAACTCCAGACAAGCGCTGGATGCAAGGTTGGCTGCAGGTTGCAATACAGACCTCCCAGAAATCAGCTTGATTTCTGCTGTTATTATTATTGGAGCTCGTTTTGGAGAGTTTTCCACTTCTCTTTGTGCCAGTATGGAATTGGACATGAGATTTTTTTGCATGTGAATGACAAGAATGTGTTTGGAAAAGTAGAAACAAACATTAACGAGGGGATTTTTTTTTTTTACAGATTTTAATGAAGCATCTGCTTTTGTTTTTTGAACCAACAACCGGAAAGGATCAGTTGTTCTAGATCTCTGCACCCCCTATTGAAATCAGTGTTTTGCTGATTACATTACCAAACACTGAGGACTTCTTCCTGTTCCTTTGGGCTCATTACTCAGGAGCTGAAGAGCAGCAGAGGTCAGGACCTGAGCTCCAAGAGCCCCCACCACCTTCGATGTGACAGGAATGAATTCCTATTATCTCTGAAGGTAAGACTCCTCAGTCCTTTGAGAAAGAAAGAGAGGTTTTTCTTCTGCTGCATGCATTCATCCAAATGTTGGATTTTAAATTGAATTACATGTAAATTGCAGCAAATCAGATGCATCTGCTTGTCGAGTCATACATGCAGTGGAGGGGTCAGAAGAAGTTGGCTGCATGTTGGAAAATGATAGATAGATAGATAGATAGATGGATAGATTAAAGGATAGAGTTTTTCATTTCAGCACCATGGACACCACCACACTTATCTTATACAGGAATCTTCTTCCTTCTCCACATTTCACCCAGAACATGTATAATTGATCATAGCTCAACTCTCAGCAATATATACATGAGAGTGTTTCTAGGATCATTAGCTAAAACATAGTCAAGATACAGCAGGTGGGGGGATTAGCGGATTCAGATAGGCAGAAAGATAGATGAGAGAGAGAGAGAGAGAGAGGTAGAAAGACGAGGGAGAGGTTCAGTGCCTCCGTACGACAGACCTGCTGGCTGGCCCCGGCTCACCACATGCTGACAAAACAGCATGGCTCGTGAGCCACAGCTACTGTCACCAACTGTTAGCCATGGTCACGTCCAAACTGTTGGCTTTGGATATTTTTAGGCTGGGTGGGAATGCTTCTCAAGCAGTGTTAAGGCTGTGCATCACTAAAACCTCCCACCAAATTCTCTAAATCCAGTTAGACTGAAAAGATGCTTTAGTAGAGGAATATACTCCCTGCTGGGTAGTTTGGATGTAGTAACCACTCAAATATGAAAATGTTAAGTGAAGCCGGGAAGATTGAATTGTTGCAACAGTTCTTCAATGTGATGAGAGAAAATGTTTTTTTTCAGGGCACCTTAAGGAACTTAAGGATCCCACTTTATCAAAATAGAAAGAAATACTCAGCACATGACTCGTATTTTAAATGTAGGGATGACTACTCGTCACCTCTGTGCTTGATGTGTCATAAAAGTGATTGGAAATAGTTATGTATCTCTCTTGCAGAGATATTTTGGGTAAATAGTGGAGAGATGGACCTTAAAACTCTTGGATATTTGCTAGATAGAGTATTTCCTGTTGTCCAAATTGGCCATTTATTGGTTTGAGATAAAGTAATTCAGTATCTTCACCTACTAGAGTATCAAACCTCCATTGTGCTGTTTGACAATCCAAAGTTTATTCTCAGTTCAGCCTCTATTGTGCTTAAACTATCCAATGAGGAATAATATTCATTAGTCTCTTCCGTGCTTGTGTATCAGCAGAAGTGATCTGGAGTAATTGTTTCTCAAGCTTAACCTCTTGTGTCTCCTTACCCTAAAATGCTTCACCTCTTCCTCATGCACTCGAGTTGGAAATTAAATCTTAGCATGTTCCCCGAATCATTTTCACCACATACAGAATGATGACGAATTCTAAAAAGAAAGAAGTAAAGCTGATTAAATGAATGGAGACAAGTAAGCTGCTTTCTGACTTGCGTTGAGCTAAGAGCATTTCCCAGGTCCATTTCAAAGTGTCGATGTGTTTTAAAAACAAAAACATGTGATTTCTGCAGCAGAATTTATACGTCATGTCCCGCCTCCTTCATTCTCTACCTAAGGCACCACCCCCCGTGTGATTGTTCATCTTTCTTGAACACGTCTGATCTGCACATGTCTCACGTCTGAATAGTTTCAGTCAGATGTCCTCACAAAGGTCATAAGGGGGTCACTGACAACCGTCACCTCCACCCAACTAAACAACCTGAGGGATGTTTTGCAGCGCTCCACTGTCTTCAGCCATAGTGAGCGAACATCTTTGAGAAGAATGGTGTTAATCTGTGCGGTAGAGCTTTATAAAGGCTTTGGAGGCTTGTGGAGGACCAGGATGTCTCTCAGATGATTAACATCCTTCAGTTTATGCGAGGGAAAGAAGATTGAACTCAGATTGACACATCTCTCTCTGCTGTATCTGCTGCAATCATCAGATATCCTGTTACCTATAGCCACAGACAGTGTGATCTAATGCTATAATATGGAGGCCAACTGGAACCTAATTCATGTTGTGGTCTCTTATATACACACACACACACACACACACACACAGGGCCTACAACAATGAAGGACAAGGAGGGGCCTGTGTTCCCATGACAACTTCCTCAGTGACACTTGCAACAACCTTGCCCCCCTGGGAGATCAGTCATACTCCTTCGTGCACACACACACACACAAAACCACACACTCAAGACCCCCTCGGAGCGTGACTATGAGTGACTGTGTGTTATTGGTCTGTTTGCTGCTGCCTCTGCTCCTCCAGCCTCTCCGTCAGTCACTACAGTGGGAGAGGAAGGGAGGGTTGAAGGACAGGCAGATGAGTAGGATGTAAAAGCAAAATTAGAAAACAGATGGATGCTGAAGAAAGACGAGGAAAGGTGTGGAGAGAGAGGTGCATATAAAACAGGTAGATAGGGATGGAGAAGAAGAGGAGGAGGGAAGGAAGGTTTGAACAGTCAAGAGTGAATGCAATTACTGAGGCAGCATATCGACTTCTCTTTTTTTCCTGGGCATTTAAAGTGTACTCACATATCAGCTTAATTACCTTTAAAATGCACATTTGGGAGGCAGCATCATGATAAATCCACTGTGATCGAGATAAAGAGCAGAGTGGATGGATGGAGGCTGGGGGGGGAAGGGAATATGGCCGCTCAGTGATCATGTTAAACAGTCACCACCCGTTCCTCCCTTCCTCTCCCCTCCCCCGGCACTGCTCTCCCCTCGCAGCTACACCCTGACATGCTCACACATCATGCTCATGCACAGAGGGGTTCCAGTGCAGACATCAATGTGACCAGCACACCCACACGTACACATGCATGCGTGTGCACAAGTCGCTGGTCAGCTGGCCTCATCCCAGTGAGTGATTGTAAAAAACTGAATCTCATTCCAAGGACTAGAGGGGAGGCTAGTGGAGGTGGGGACGGAGAACAGCAGCAGAGGGAAAGCTTCCTCCCTGCTTGTCCTTCCTGAATTAATTTGCATGCACACATGATATGAACAGTGCCAATGATTGTATTAGTTATGGGAAACAGAAGCCTTCATTTTCTGTGTAGTTCTCATTCCATACAAGTCATTCCTGAATGATTCAGCTAATTTCACAGTTTCTCCCCATTCAGTGGACAACATGGATGCAGCATTGGCCAAGTTATACCAGCAGTCATGTGATCAAACCCACAGTTTGTCCGAGTTAATGTTGTTGATGCCCTCAGTAACATGCAGCATCTATTGCACTTCTGCCCGTCCTGGGAGAGGGATCCCTCACAGGGTTCTCTCTCTGAGGTTTCTACGTTTGTTTTGCTTATTAATAGGTTTTTTTGTAGTTTTCCTTACTCTTGTTGAGGGTGAAGGGCAGAGGATGTTGCACCTTATTAAGCCCTATGAGACCATGAATTTATTCAAATTGTCTGTTACAATCACCCATTACAGTGAAAAACTGGATGCTCACAATGTTCATCCAAAGTGTTTCAGGTGTTTGTAATGGATATTGTGAGCAGATCATTTATGTAAGCATATGTAAGATATTCCTGTTTGAATTTTACGAAGTAAAACTTGGGGATTTAATTCAAACCTTATCACTACTGCTGTTACTGTTTCTCAGTGTTGGAGTTAAATTTTAAAACTTGTTGGACTGTTGGCTGACTGTATGTTATGAAAATGTAATGTAAAGCCAGACGGCACGCTGCTCAGACTGAGTTTACACTTTGCATTTCATCTTGTAAGTGTAACCTATTTTAAAGATGCTTCAGGGCTTTCTCATTACAAACTCATTCACCAATTTAAGCTGTAAAACGTTAAATCTGAGACTTTGCAATCGTCAACATCCTTTTGGAAAGTGATGAATCAATAGGAATGAGGACGCGCCGGCTCAGCAAGGTCGTGACTCACTGCCACGAGAGTTGATCACAACAAGCGTGCAGATAAAATGAGGGATTTTTCATTCATAAATTCCACTGTTGTGATGAGTCGTATCTTTTTATGCGTCTCTGCAGCTCTGCCCGGCTGCACTCTGCTTCGTTTCCATCAGCGTCGGCATTAGCATACAGTGAGCGAGCCGGGTAAAAAGTTTGTTCAAGTACAATCAGAGCAGAACTTAGGAGCGTAAAAACCGCCCACCCAAAAAAACAGAAAAGACCGTGGTGCAATGTTGGTCTGTAACAGCCTCGTCGCCATAGTAACTGAAGACCCATTGGTACTTTTACACACACACATTCCCTGTTGAGCGCTGACCATTAGCACTGACAGTCGAGCAACCACCTGCCTTGAGCTTTTAACACATTCCCATCAATTATCCATACATTTCATCAGCCCTCCCATCCTCTCAAAGCTGATCTCTGCAGCCTTTTCTCCTTCTTTGTTCATCACTTATTTCGCTCTTTTCTCTCTCTCTCTGTCTTTTCTTGCCCTCAGCTTTTTTCTCTCCTGCCCACAACCACTAATCACACTCCTCCGTTCTGTTTCTCTCCATCTAGACCATCTCCTCTTGATTGTTTTTGTAAAGTTTAATCGTACGAATCTGCTCCTGCTCCTGCAAGGACCTTTTGACCTTCGGAGGCACAGACAAATGCAAGGAGATGACTAATTCTCACACTAGAGATTTGCATGAGTAGATTTTTATCTTAACAGAAGCAGATGAACTAACCAGCAACAAACTGAAAACACACAATTTAACCATGGCGAACACTGAAACCAGATGTTCCCTGTGCAGGAAGTCACATCTGTGTCCTGCAAACCTCGTGTTGTTAGGCTGCATTATGCACCTTCTGTCACACACCTGCGACGACCAGGTCACCGACACACAGGCTGAACTTCATGTCCTGCATCTGGTTTCACAGATATGATGCTGACCGGGTAATAGAGCAAGTTAGGGAATAGAGAAGTAAAGATTGTGTCCCCAAATTTTCCAAAGTTATGATAATAATTTTGTGTGGATCCTTGGCTAAATGGATGGATGGATGGATGGATGGATGGATGGATG